CTAGTTTTAATTGCTACATGTTGTAGGAACACTGTAAATGTATGCACTTTTATGCACGTGCACAAGCCAAATAACTTTGTGTACAGTGCATGCGAATTTAAAAATTTTTGTTCTCATTGGAATTATTTCAATTAAAAGTTAAATTACAACAAAATTTATCGAACGAAATATGGAAAAAAACAGTTGTATAAATTCCGTTGGCATAAAAGTATTAGCCATCAGCTCATCACGGCTGTTGCTTTAAATATGTTTACGTTATTTAAAATGCTATGTAGCCAGCTGACATTTTTTCGATCGCTAGAAATTTTTACTCCACCCATCGAACTACTCCAGATGTTATGTTACAGTTTTTGTTTACGAAAACACTATAACCACCGATTAGTACGACATGAATTTCACGCTTGCCGCGATCGTTTCAAAACTGAAAACTTGGCACGAAGACAAATACAACACGACAATTATGCGATCCGATAAGTCATGTCACATTTCGAAATATTTCAAATCCACCGCATATTTGGATAGGAATGCGTTATTTTACACCGCCAAAGTGTATATATTCATTCAAAGTTTTTCAATAGGTGAGATGTAAGAGTAGAGCAAAAATAGTTGCACCTACGTAATTATATACGGTAAAACGTCGATACGCGTGAGAAGTTCTCGTGTAAAATACGCCTGGTAAACGTTATCTATGATATTGGATGAGTTTCAAGATAAATTGTATGATGCATGTTGGCCAATAGACTGGAGTTGCATAAAGTTTCTTATAAAACGTTGGAAGAAAATAAAGATAGCTCTACTACAACACACCGTATAACTAACACTTAAAGCATCCAAGTAAGTAGATGGGGTATGGTTCTGGTAAGACCTGTACAAGTGACTACTTTTTCAATGTATAAGTGCCTAATCGTTTTCTTTTTATTCGTGCGAAAATTCATTAATGAGAAATAAATGTTTTTCTAGGTGTCGACTAGTGAAGTAGACGTGTTATTCTTTGTTCCATATTCAGCCTGATGAACAAACAAAACGAAAAAATATGAGAAAAAAGTGGTTCAACTTGAAGAAAAAAAAATTGCTTTTGTATAAATGAGTAATTTGCATTAATCATCTCACTGGAACGTGTAATTACGAAATAATCAATTTTTCTCCGACACTTTAATCTGAAATATCAAGCACAAACATGAAAAGTTCTTAAATGATTTTAAAAAATTTCAAAATAATTTTCAGTACACCACTGTAAAAGCATTCCAGGAAATAATTTATAATAAAAAAAGTATTGATAAAATATTTCCCCAGAATACGAGGGAATAATAGATCAAACATGCCGAGCTAGGTAGTTAGTACGCAAACAATAAATTTTTTTGTTGGTTGATTACATATAAGTACAACTTAAAAACATAACGATAAATTGACAACTAATATTAATTTAATGCAAATATTTTTTATTTTTTTTTTATTTAATAGTTTATCTTTATTAGACAAAATTAAAAATGTACATAATAACAACATTGATAATAGTATCATTACTTGGTTGGATAAAGAAATATTTGAGGACCCCCAATTTTCAATTACGTATAGTTCATACTCATGTGCTGATTATTGTCGAAGGGCTGTATTTACGAGGATGCTCGAATCCGTATATGATAATCAAATATGACGCAATTGCAGTTATTATCTGAAAAATAATTGTGATGCAATTTTAATTAGTCTTATCATCAATACTTTGCTTGCCTAATGCAATTAGTTTCGATTTATTGATTTAATTATAGTTACTAATAATACCAACTGATACAAGTAATGATTCGTTTATCGGGAAGACGGATAAAGCTTGAAATTTAATGTCCGTACTTCCAGATTGATGTGCAAACAAGAAAAGCTAGAAATATGTGTTGTATGTCTCAATTAATTTTCTAAATGAGTCATAATTTTCATCTTTAAGTTTTTACCTGACATATTATATCCTTGCACTTTACATTATTATTTTTCAATAGGCATTTCATCAACGTAAAATTGATCTTCTTACTCTGTAAAATTTATTAGAGTTTTTAAGATTTTAAAATTAAACGTAAAAATTATAAACTTATAATGCATTACCTGTTTAGTAGCTAGGCTTGCAGATTTGGTTAAAAGTCTGACCATGAGTAAGGTGTCAAAGAAACATATACAAAACGTAAACGATCGAAGTGTTAGCATACTGTGATCATCAAAAACTGCTTCTATGATATAATGACCATAACTTAAAATGGATGCAAAATACACTGAGATGCAGAAAAATATTGATACAGAGTAAAAATAAGAGGTATATTGAGAAATTTTCATTAAAAACATATTAATTGATCGCAACTCTGTTACTTTAAGCATTTTTTTTCGTACATTGGCGTAATCAAAAAAATCAGTACTTTCCATGCAAATGGATTTTTCAAACTCGTTTTTCACATGGGAATCAATAATTTTGAATAATCCTTGAATTAGGATGGTAAAAAAAACATACTGCAATACAACTACATCTATTATGACAGTATGAACTACTCTAATAAATAAAAATATCGGCAACCTTATGTCTTTGTTATAAATGGAGAAATAAACTACAATACTTATGAATAACAAGTACTTACACATAATAAAAGAAACCCTTTTACTAGCTTTTAGTACCCATTTTTTATTTTCACTATTTTCTCCTAATCCTCCAACTAGTTCTTTTACCCTGTTAATTTTGGTGAGCAATATTATAAATTTTTTTTGTTTGATATTGTTAAGTAGGATAAAATTTACTCCTATAAAAAGTAGAGTATAATATATCTCTGTGTAAATTTTACTGTACGATTCTTTAATACTCAACACTTCTTGATAATCTCTTAGAAAAAAATATTGTAAGAATATTAATATCGTAAGTAAAACCACATTATATGTTAAACCAATATAGGAATGACTAAATATCCAACGTTTAAAAGTATTGTTTTTTAATGGATTCTCTTTAAAATCTATTGTTACGGTCCCAAGCATTCTATTGTATAAGTAAAACAATTTAATAAGTGAAAAATTAAATTTTGTTGTGTCATTTTTTGATATTGTTTCTGTGAGCATCGCGAGATTAAAAGTTTTTAGCTGTAAAAAATAAGGCAACTTAGTCAAAGAAACATATTTTAAGTTTCAAAGTAAAAAATATTTTAATAAAATGTAGTACCAAATCTTTTCAAATAATCACAATGTTTCTTTTTTTTAGGAAAGTTGGAAAATATTAACTTTTCACCGTATATTACTGTATTCTACCAGTGAGAGTCTGAAACACTTGAGATCCCACAGCTGACTACTCGTAAAAGTGTTTCAAAGAGAACTAAAATTACATTAATAAGACATGGTGAGTTACATTTTAGGTTTTGTAGGTAAAACGCATGAGTGGTGCGTCATAAAAACAAAATGTCATTCTTGTAATTGCTTGTTACTGTAAATTGTGTCCTTCATTATTTCATAATTACGTATACGACATGTATGGATAAACTGTCACTTGGTATCGGGGCAGACATATACGGGTGTAGAAAATGTAAAATAATTGTAGTTAACATTATAAATAACATGTTGGTACGTTGAAGGTATATTATGCGTTTTTTGTTGTTATTTCTACTGTTTCTTCTATCATTTATAAGATTTACAATGTTCTTTATTTTTTTATAACTATTTTTGTATATTGGACGTGACTTGATGAATTGTACTCCCATCTTATGTTTTACCTCGTTACTGCAAGTATGAAAAACACCTTATTGGCAACAAAGATTTTTACCATCTGATATATACAAAACAAAGGCTCATGGTGTGACCCAATTACCTTTGGTTATCACGTAGTATTTTGAATTTCTGCGAGTTCAGCATTAATACAAAACAATGTACAACATCAAAAATTTTTTTTATCAAGTATTCCGATTTTAATCATGTGCATTAATCAATTTGTTCTGAAACTAAAATTTTTTTTGTCGTAAACAATCATAAAACATGATTGTGGGACAATAAATTCAAGCCCACAAATTTTTTGTGAAACGTAAATTTACAAAGTTGAAGAGAAACACCAGTTTTTATGGAAACCACAACGTTCTATTATAAAGACGAAACTAGCAGCTAAATTTTACCTCAACAGGCGCCACGTGAACATCACAGATTATCCATGTACAAGTTCAGTCTGAGAAGGACAAAACACAATTGCCCCTCAGCTGCATTCAGTAACGAGGTCTCCCGTCGATCGCTCGGGTTCCCCCGACTAAAGCTCATCGCCATCGCGTCTCCTTTTAGCGCTCTAAAACCAAAAATAATATTCATCTCCTCTGCTTCCTCTCTCCTACTTTCTCGCGAGTCTCCGTGCATGCACGCCCCCCGTAAAACTCTCGCTCGTTACCCTGCATGCACACACCGCAAGTATACCTCCGTACATCCACACACACACACAGAGTCGTATTTAAAGAACGAGGTGCGGGTGGGATGGCTAAAAGAAAAAAAAAAAAAAAAGAAGACACGGAAGCACGTGCATGGACACCAAGGCATAAAGGAGAAGAGCCAAGCCGAGCCGCGCAATTAGCCGTATGGATACGGAGAGCAAAGATCGGGAGCCAAGCGCATGCGTCTCGCCCCACGCGCGTTTCCGTCCTCTATCTCTACCCTATCTGCCCTGTGGAAAATACGTCGGGGGCACCCGCTCACCCACACGCGTCCTCCCTCGCTCTGGTCGGTCGGTCAGTCAGTCAGTCAGTCACCGGTCGACGCTGCGCCGGGCTCCGTCGTCGGCTGACCTCGTGGCACGCGTTTCTTGTACACACTACAGGATCCTCTACCACCTGAATGTTGTACGTCTTATTGCATCCATTCCGACCCATCTCGCCCCACTGTTGGACCCGCGAGTGCTCAGAGTGCGATTCGGGGGGAAACCATAATCCAGCCAAGGAAATCCAAAAGACGAGGGACTGCTCTCACCCTCTGTCTGTATAAGCAGTGCAACGGCCCCGTTTTCGCGTGTGCGTGCAGTTGCAGGTATCCGTGGATGCCTTTGTCGTCCGATCGACACTGTAATGCCAGAGCGCGAAACGCGAGCCGAGCTCGCAGCGGAGGTCAGCGGGCTTTGGAGGCTTGAGTTGTGTAGTCGATCCTCGGGGGTGTAAAAGCTCGGTCCTTCCATCGCGATGTTCGCAGCCGATCCCGAGTAAATTCGATCCTTCGGAGTGTAAATCGAGAAAAAAAAAAAAAGAAGCGAGAGTTTACCATGTCGCTGCACTACTACCCGCACGGCTACCGCTACCGCTCAGCGACTCGCACGAGTGTCCAGGTGATGCAGCACGAGTTGGGCTCGGACAGCGACGTCAACGAGCTCAGCGAACTCGAGGATGACGAGGGCGCCGATGGCGAGGAGGACGACGAGGACGACGAGGACGACGGGGACGAGGAGGACGACGGGCTGCCATACCCGGGCTTCGTGCCCGTTGCCCTGCGCTACTTCGAGCAAGGAACTTGGCCGCGCAACTGGTGCCTCGTGCTCATCACTAATCCATATCCTTTTTGCTTTTATACTTTATATGTATACGTGTATATATTGCTTTTCAAGTTTTTATATCTATGCCCTCTTGAACCTACACCTCATTGACCCGGTTCGTTATACTTGGAACTTTCTTTGGTGTACGGATTATTTTACCGGTATCGATTCGCGTGTATGTGAAACTCAAATTTTTGGGTATACGTGTTTTAGATGCAGTGAAACGTCTGATGCTCGCTATTTTAAATGATAGTAGGAACACCGACAAATAGCCTACTAAAAAAATGGCAGCTGTGGGGCTTCGTATTGTTTTTTATCAGCAGTTATATTGGAGGAGGTGTATGGGCTTGGGAAACGTATGATTGCGTTTGCGAAGACCTTTGGACAAGAAACAAGAAAGAAGTATAAAACTTTAGCTTTTTTGGTTTGGTTTCAAGTAAAAAAATAAAACCAAAAATCATATGAATTGCGCGGAAAAGAACCAAGTGTACGAGCTTTTTTTAGTACTTGGGGGGAGCGGATGTTTGTATTTAAAGGGATGATGTTTTTCAAGATCGATAAAAATTTTTATTATTTCAATCATAAACACAAAAGTCATTGGTTAATCATACAAATTCACAGCCAAAGGGATGGCGATGAAACATAATTCATATGAAAAAAGGCGCGTCTCACAAGACAAATATTTTTAATAAGCGATTGAAACAAATATCGTGAGCTTAAAAATTTTAATCCAATTCCTCTACAGCGGTAACCACACACGTATATTCTCGTAAAGATTATATTATTCCCGAAAACTTTAGCAGATCAGACGTAACATTGTCAGAGTAATTTTTTCGTTCACACATACGAAGTGAAGCAAATCCCGTGTGCACGAGTGGAGAAACAATTTTTTACCCCTTGGCACATCGAGAGAGGAAAAAAAACTCCATTCCTGATACACTACCACCCAAGCCAATTTACACCCTCTTCGCGATAAAATTTTTTTTCCCCACCAACGAAGCAATCTTCAAACCTTGTATCAAAAAGGAAATTGGCCGCACGAAAATTTCATCTCCTCCACGGTATACGTGCACCCCAGCGCGAGAGCGAGATGACTCGGGGGTTTTTTTTCCCACACACGCTCGTGCCTCCATCGCGATACAAGAACGAGGAACGAAAAAAAAAAAAAAAAAAATGAGAGTCCGGACGCGAGAATAGTACGTATAAATACACCCGCGAAGCAGGTTCATAAACGTACAGAGCCGGCGATTGATTTTCCTTATCCGCCTCTCTGCTCCCGGCCTCCAAGATTTTCGGCGAGAAAAGCTTTTAAGCTCCCGCTCGATGCACCTTTTCAACTTGCTGGTGCTCGAAGTGGCTACGTGCATCATAATACGGACTCGCGAGAAATTTCATCCACTCAATTCTCTTGTCATGCAGTTTTTGGTAGACTTTTTCTGGTGAATATTTTAGTTATCGCTCAACAATAAACTCGACTGGGTTTTAGCCACATAAGCTCCACTCGATCCATCAATAAGTAATTAGGGAGAAAAGAGCTTTTTTGCTTTAAAGCTCAAACACACATCGAACTATGGTTATATATACTCGGGAGCATAGCTGGCGCCGGCAATCGTTCGGTATATGTCATATTCCAGTTCTAAAAGTAGGTCGCGTTGCGCAGCACCTTCTTCTTATGTATATACTTATAGCCTTACGGTAGTTACTCGCTTTAATCGTCCATCATCTGCATTTGCGGACTCTTGGCATAATCGTGCTCTTCCCTTTATGGATTAATTTTTCATTTTTTTTTTTCTCCCTTTTTTCCCCTCACGTCCTCCGGTGCTTTTCCATTTGTTCCTGGCCTTTTGCGAATCGGTCGTTAATACACGCAAAACCAAGGTGTAGAATAATTCCCCAAAGTTCCACGGAATTGCAGCAACTTTTTCCTCCACAAAGTATAGCTGCAAACAAAGCTTCAATATGTAAATAATCACATCTGCCTTTGGCTGGCCCATATCGGCTTGAGCCATAGGTGTATGCACATAGGCTACATGTTCAGTATGAACGTACGGTCAAGCAGCTTTCTGCGAGATGGAAAAATTTGCTGCATATTGGGTGCCAAGCTTTTCGACGCGAAGCAGGAGAGGAAAAAAGAAAAGCAAAGCTCTCTTGAAGAAAAGACCGTGGTGGGTGGAAAAAGGGGGAAGAAGAGGCGCTGGGCCGCTGATTTTTAAGCCGAGCACTCGACTCCTCTCCGCGTCTCTTCAACAAGGATAACTCGAAAGTTGAAACTGAGTCAGGGCCTCCGCTCCTTATTGTTCGCTCTCGGGGGCTCTTGCAAGCTCCCACAGACGACGGAAGTGGGAAGAGGTCGTGCGTGGGATTTGCGGTCCTCTGCCACGTGTACGTTAATTGGAGGTGTCAGTTGAGAGGGTAGGTTTTTTTTTTTTTTTTTTTTTTTTATATACAACTCGCGTGAGAATCGTTTTTATTTTTTACCTTGGAAAAATTGATTTCTCAGTCTCGAGTGACGATTGCAGTGGAAAATAAAGTTCACGTGCGAATTAGAGAGAAACAGTCGTTGAGTATGGCTCTTCATTAATGCACGAGGCTTTGACTCGTGGACACGCGATGCGCTGGGTACGTGTATAGGTGTAGTAATGATCGTGTCTTTATTCAAGTTCCATCATGGAAAAATTGTCGAGGTATGGTTGCCATTTTTCTTTTATTTTAACACGTGTAACGTTAACTGGGGTGAAAAAATATTTTAAACTTTTAATCGAGATTTTTGGGAAAAGGGTACGGAGATTTTGTTGTTCAAACAAGTTTTTCAAAAATACGATGCATTAAATTACGAGCTAATGCTCTTAAAGTGCGTAACTTTGCATTACCCCACGTCAACAGTTGAATTTCAAATAGCCAAAATGTCGGTCAAAATAAGATTAGCAGGTAAATTATTCATTGTAATACGAACGAAATCGAACTAAAATTGGCTTTGTGACGTGAACAGCATGAAATAACAGCAGTGCTCCGAATCATAGATGGTATAAATTAAAGGAACTTTGGTTTAACGAAGTTGTCCTTGTTTTTTCTTCCGAACGCCCAACGCGCAAGTAACGCGAGAAATAATTAAACAAGTTTTTCCTCTCGCCGCGCGTTGTGCACACAGAGCCGAGCCGCGGGAGCAGGAGATCAACTGAAATTATATAAAAACTTCGATTGCACCCTTCGCTTTAATTTTCGCGATGCCGCTACGTTTTTTCTGTCCACACCCGCACTCTCTATTTGTGGGTGGCAAAGCGAAAGCCAATCAAACGATGATCAGTCGAGTAAACTTTTATTCTTGCCTACATTTTTTTTAACCCGATAACGAGTATTGTAATCATTTGATGGCACTCACGTTGTAGTTCGAAGATCAGCTTTATCATGGAATAGCGCGTACAAGAGTCCACCGGCTTGGTCGCGGTACGCTTTCATCCCATCGCGAAATCGCCGTAAAATGAGCGCGGTGATTATACCGGGAGCGCGTTGGCGAATAATGGCTCATCAACTAACCACGTACATGGCACGGCTGGTACATATTCGGAGGGGAGGGGGCGCATCAACCACCTCGGCTCTTTTCTCTCTCTCTTTATACGGGCTGGGGACGGGAGGGTTGAAAGTTTTCTGGGTCAAAACGAGAGCCACTGCAGCTCCCGCGGATTTTTCCCGAGGCACAATACGGCCAGGCCTGAGTTTTCGGATGTGATCTCTGGTGGCAACGGGAGGGAGGAATCGAGAGCAAATCCTTGTCATGCCGCTCTTTCGGCTTGCCGTGAACTTTACGATGCAGCTGGGGTGGCGCGAAAGCGAGTGAGTGGGGGAAAAAAAAAAAAAGTTTGGTTCCGAGTGAAAAAGCAGGTAGGGAGGATGGGAAAGCACTGGGAAATTTTTTTACGCCGATTCGTCTCGTGAAAGGTGGAGAGGGTACCGCTCACGTGGGCACGTGTGTTGTTGGAACGTGTTGAGTACGTGTGCATTTTCTGGTATTTATTTTTCTTGTTGAATTCTGACGCCTCGAGCTTTAACTGTTATCTGGTGTCTTACGGCTGCATTTGTGGGGTACTCTAAAAGAATAAATGAAGTAATCACGTAAAAGGACTATCTCTTATTTTACGACTATTTTTTAAGCGAGTCTATATCTTTAGTCAAGTGGTTTTTATTCGCGCTTTAAAATACACAACTTCCATTCCAACCCTCTTAATATGTATACCACAAGTTTGGATAAATTTTATAAAAAAATAAAGGAAGAAAAAGTCTAGTCGTGTAGTGTACCCACATAATATATTAGCAAAATCTCTAAAAATACCACTGTCTGTCTATTTTACTTTAACGTTGATGGTCGATACTCGTGTCATTTTACTGTCACTTTATTATTTTACAAAAACGGTATAGCTGGGATCCTCAAAATTTTCCATACACCCTTATGATTACGGCACAAATAACAAAATTACGAAATGATAATTCATGTGGGATTATGATGTTTCAAAACAAAAGAGAAATATGATCCACAATGGCAATTCAATTCAAAAACAACTTTGATGACTGTAATCAGCCTCACTTGTTTGGTTGCTTTTAACTATGGTCTTTTAAAAACATCACCCATGTATTTGGCTGCCTTACAAGGATCACCTGGAGCGTTATCCACAACCAGTTACCGAAAGCAACACTTGTAACATAATGTTTTATATTAATGCAAATTTAATAAAATTGTTATTGTAACGATTTTTCAAAGCATGAGAATTCAGCTGCTACAGCTTCTCCGATTGTGTTGACGTTATAAAGTGATTGTCACGCCAACCTCCCGATGCTTTCTGATACGCTGAAAGACATTTTACCTTCTCACCCCGTACAGAAGTTAGGCGTCAAAGGGTCAATTTAACGACCAACTTTTTCATCTCCCGGTTGTTGATTTTTTTTTTTTCTTTTTTTTTTTTCATTTTCAAACATTCTCGAGAAAAATTTATTAAGCATCTTTCATCTGCTCGACTGCACGAAC